AGCAACCCCCAGCAAGGCTGTGCTTGCTTCAGGATACCAGGGCAGTATTCAGTGGCTGTCACTCAGCGTGTGGTGGCTTCTCGGTGTGTGGCTGTGAGAGAGGTGTTTGATCAGGGCAAGTGGTTTGGCTATCAGGAGAATCCAGGAAGGCAGGTAAAACCACAATTTAGCCACAAGAAAGCCAACAAGTGCAGCCAACAGCCATTGCTGGCCAAGTTGAGAGGAGCGAGGCAGCTCCTGCAAGCTTCCCAGCAAGCGAGCCCTTACCCAGGTGCAGGCTGTGCTGGCGGAGGTTTGCATCTGCTGCCACAAGCCACTCCAAGACTGGGAGTCCTAAGAGTCCTCAGTCTGAAAATCAAGTGGGAATTGCCAGGAAGAAGGGTAGAAATGATGAAAGCTGCTGCTCTCTGTTTCTGGTTAGTTCTGGCTGACACAACCCCACAGCGCAGCATCTCATGGCAGGGATGCCCTCTTCTCCTTTCCCATCTGCCAGCCTTCTCTCAAGCTGAGGTGTATCTTCCTCTGAAGAGCAGCTACGAGCAAGCCTTTATCAGCCTTCCTTCTTCCACAGACGGGGGAGATGAATGTGTACTTGGAAAGCCATTGGCATGGCTTGCAGCATATGAACAGCCTCCTCAATGCACCTTTGAACTCATTCCTCCTACATTTGTTTGTCTTGCAGATAAAAATTCACAGCAGTGTTTGGAGAAAAGTCTAATGAGGGACCACTGTTTGCATAACAAAGCAAGGCTTCCTCTTCAGATGTTCAACCTTCATTAAGCATAATTTATATTCCAGCTAATCTTTGGAAGAGGATAAAATATGGAGCCGAAGTTTGTTTTTACATAGTTTGGAGTAATGCATTGTTTGTTTTAAGTGGTCAGTTGCAACTGATAGTTGATTCAAATTCAACATAATGATGATTTGTGATGGCTGCGTGTTGTCGAGGGGAGTGTTGTGTCATTGACTGCCATGGCTTTAGCACTCTTCTGCGTCAGTTATTGAATTAAAGGATAAGACCAAATGGATGGTTTCCCAGTTTTGCAGATATTTCAGCACGTCCGCAAAGCATGAAAAACTGTGAATTTGTAAAAGACGGGGTTTTTTTCCCATCAGGCTCGTGTAGACTTGATAAAATAGCACACTGAGCAGCAGTTTGCTTCTCTTATGGCAGTCCTGGTAGCCACCAACATGGGACTCTTTGAATGTCACCGGGTCTCTGCAGCGAGTCGCTCTGAGTGATAAGGGACACAGCGTTTGTAAAGGCTCCTCAGTGCTGCTGGGAGTCCTGGTGACTTGATGTGGTTTTTGCTGCCTAGAAAGCAAATAAGCAGGTATAGCTAAATGCCTAAATGTCGTTACAGGCCAGTGTCTAAGAAACATTTTCAGCACTGAGACTTTGTTCATGTCATAGGCATATTAAAAGTATCTGATCCTATTGACTCTTCACTGCAGTTTTGTCCCCCTGCCTATTTAAGATACTCTCCTTTGCCCCAGTTGAAATACCCAATATATTTCACTTATCACCTGACAGGTTTATTAAAAGATGTGAAATGACTGATAACATTTATCTTTCATGTACTCCTCACTGAGACTTACCCCTTTCTGCAAGTTTATGTTGTAATGACGGATGTTTGAAAACACCCTTCACCATATCATGAAAATTATGACCTGAATTGTGTATATGGACAGCACTGAGGTGTGCTGCATCCTTTCAACACAAGGGAGCAGGGTTTTCAGAAACTACTTGGGATGTTGAGTGGGTCAGCATTGGGGTACCCAGCCCCTGGCTCCGGAGGCAGCTGGCCATGCTGTCATTTAAAATGACTCATGGACTGAGTGGTGGCTTTCCATGTTGCGTTCTTTAATGCTGAGATGCCTCCAACTGCAAAGCTCGGGATCCTTGTCTTGTTTGGTTCGTCACATCCATGATCTACCCATAACTGTTTTTAAAGGCAGCACCAACCTCTAGAGAATATATTTGTTTATTCATTTATTTATTTTATTGTTTTTCAGGAAAAAATGCTGTAAGGGTTATAAGTTTGTTCTTGGACAGTGCATCCCTGAAGGTATGTGATTTCATTGTTCTTACCTCTTTTGTCCCTGTGCATTTGTCTTTCCCCATTTGCCCTTTTCTCTACACTGTTGGTTTGGAAGAGCATGCTGATATAACCACAGGCTCAACCATATCTCATGTGTCAGTTGGGGAACTGTTTCCAAGAAATAAAAGGAAATAAAAAGATCAGCGTCTTCCAAATGTTTCACTTAGCATGCCAAGCCTTGATCCTCCCCTAAGTACCCATGGCTGCACAGATCTTGTAGCATGACCTGCTGCAAACAGAGGGACACATTCTGCTCTTGGCTATGTATGTGAGAGCACCCAGGAGCACACCTTTCCTGGCTGATGGCTTTCCCCGTGTATCCCCTGTATCTGGCACAGCCAGTTTGGCTTGTAAGTGCATGGAGGGTGGGTGACCAGGTGAGTTAGTCCTGCCTTTAGTTACCGATTTCCCGAAGATGTCAGCAAAAGGAGAGCATTGCCAAACAATGTCTCTCCTCCATCACCTCTCCTGGTCATGGGCACACCTTCTTTGTCACCAGGGCCAGAGGGAGATGGAGAATTACTCAGGGTAGTTCATGCAGTAGTGAAAAGGGAACGATCCTCTCCTGGCAGAGGGGAGCTGCCCGTACACTATGCGAAGGCAGTACCAGGGTCCCAATGCTCAGAGGTTACTGCAATGAGGTCTCATTTAGGAAAAGGCTGAGCTCTGCCTACCTTAACCTTGGGGGAGGCCCCTCTTGGGTCTACCTAGCTGATGGCTTTACATGAGCAGCAGCAATGTGACTTCTTCAATCACTCCCACCACTTTGCCCGATTTGGATGAAATTGGGTCTGAAGTTGTAGGAGCAGAGGAGCTGTCAGGCAGAAGCAAATGGCCAGAGATGACAAGCCAATAAACCTTGTTTGCTCCAAAAAGCAGGTTAAAAAGTTGGTTTACACATCCTTCTATTTGATGACATATGGAAAGCCTCGAGTTGACCTGAGAATCTTTCCCAGTTTGGGATGGTGATGTTTTGAAAAGAAAAGTGACAAATTAACATACTGGAGAGAGTCAGCTGGTTTTCGAGTTACAGTCTCCAGCCAACAGGGTTTATAACCCCAACTCTGATCCTGCTGCCTTTTTTTTTTTTTCAACTTGTATCTTTTTTGCTGCTGGCTGGAAACACTGTAACACTGATTGCAAAAAAAGAAGAAAAAGAAAAAAACCCCACATCTTCTCAAAACAGGAATTGTGCATTTACTGCTCCCTTGCGAAGAAATGGCTGACGGTGCCAGCCCAATGAAATCGATGCTCGTGAGGAGTTTTGCAGTGAGTTTTGTCTCGGGGTGTGTGGTGTGAGATGACAAGTGCGAGATGGACATTTGGAGGAACCAGTTGTGCTGTGTCGTGCAAGGCGGTTGTGTGCGTAGGAGGAAGAAGTCCTGAATCCTTTCAGGGTGGAAAGAAGTCAGGACTCCACGGTCTGGCCTCCAGCTTTCCTATGGATTGTAACAAATTTATACACTGGTTATTCACTAAATATAATAGATAGAGCAGGAGAAGTAATAGAAGCAAAAATAAAATGAGATCCATGGAAATATATTATTTTAGGTTTCTAATTTTCATCTCTTGAGGTTTAGGTGATTATGAAAGCAGCTTTTATTATGTACCCTCTGACTTCACTTAATCCTGTCTATTAACTGCATCTCAGTAACCTGAGAATTTCTGCCACTAATTCAATTTCTTTGCTGGCTGTGTCTTCTCTCCCTTTGTATCTCCATTCCCCTTTTTCAGCCCGACCTATATTTTGCCTTGAACTTCAGAGGCCACAGCAATTGCTATAACATCTGAGACCATCTTGGGCCGTTGGTACAGGGATGAGAAACATGATTCAGTGAAGCACTCATTTCATTTACTATGTTACAAGACATCACTTGGCTCTTCACACATTGTTTTGGCATAATCTTGACAGAGTAGCTGTATGAAATGCATATCTCGACACAGGCACATAAATACATTACAGATGTGAGTTTATTAGAGCACATCTGCACCTTTTAATCCAGTGCTGGCAGGTCAAAGCCGTGAGAAGTAGTTCCAGCCCTGTCTTCTCTGTGATTTAGCAGTGGCTGCAGGGAGGAAGGTTGGGAGAGGGATAGACCCTGCCTTCTCCACCCTCTTATGGCTGCCCTGGGAAGACACCAATCTCCTTCTTGGACAGCTGTTATTTAAACAGACTCTTTTCCAAAGGGTTGTG